TGGAGGGCGTCAGAATTCTTTTAGTTTGAGCCCATCCTTGCAGGTACTGGATGTGTATATCTTTGCTTACTCTCTTTTCCATAGGTTTCTACATATAGGTTAAAACAATCTTTTCAGGCAATTTCCAGTTTGACTAATATTTTTACTCAATATCGATACTACTAGACATGCAGGATCCCTGAGAGGGCTGGCTATGGAGGAAAGAGATCTGAATTAGAATTACAGCTTCTCCTTACTTGGAGTTAATCATCTCATCTTATTGAGTGTCAGATATTTCTTCCTTACAGAGAGACTCTAAAGATTACATAAAATATCATATGAAAAAAATTGCTGGTACTGTCTGGAAAAATGAGACATTCCCCAGATTAGTGACTGAATCCAAATTTCAATGTGTAGGTAAAGCCCAGGACAGATTAAGAGCTGAGTGTCTCTTTAAGAAAGGTTGTTTGACCCTGAGAGGTGGTGCATGGGGGCAGGGGCATAGAGCCCCTTCATCATCCGTAAAAAATGACAAGGCCCTGTGTTGGGCTTCCGCTTGGTTCTGTGACCAAGTTTCCACATTTAGCCAAACCACGTGAAACTGGTTTGAGTCTTTCCTCATAGCTGCAACTTAGAGAAGACTTGGAAAAACTAGGTGCTTAAAAACAAAAAGAATGAAAAATATCACAGAAATCCATTGTTATTTTTCCTTTGTAACAGAACCTTGCATGTAATAAACTAAATACATATTTGCTGAATGAATACACAAATACATAAATACACAAATAAATTAAATATATAAATCACTGAAATTTGAAAATAAGTAATTCTGAGTTCACCCTTACCCTTTTATTATTATTTTTTAAAATAAAAAGTTCAGGGGACTTTGAGTGAAGAATACTCTATAATGATTGATCGATCTTTATGATCATGTGTTGAAGAAGAGCTACTTGGCATACATTTTTAATGGAATATACCTAAAAGCACAAGAATAAACCTGTATCAGTACCTGCTTCTTGCACAAATTTTTGTACCACAAATTCTATTATAGTCACACATTTATTCATAGAATGGTCTCTCATTTTTTTAATTAATAAAAACATTTATTCAGAATATTTTCTTAAATAACATAGCCAGATGTTTACTAAATATACTCTTTAAGTATTTCATGAAGAAGAATATATTTTCAGACATTACCACTTACATTAGATTTAATCAAGATTGCTGAAGTATGTAGGCCAACAAAAATGAGTGGCTCAGCTGTAGGCATTGTGTTGACCTGTTAACCTGAATTTCATTCCTAACTACTTTTGTATTTAAACTTAAATTCCATAACCCATATATGCACAGAGGATTAATTGTGAATTACCATCCTACTTAAGAATAACCATAACAGCAAAATAGTTATTCATTCCAACCATCAACTTTTTTAAGATTTGGAGCTTGTCTCCTTGAAAGTTCTTCCATATAGCAGAGTGAAGAGGCCACTTAAAAGTAAGATACCAACAGGAGTTTGCAGAGATGCCACTTCATAATGAATTACAGCATCTGTGGAGGTCCTTTATTCTCTGGTATTCGTAAAAACTATCTTCTATATGCATTTTAAGTGCCAATACAAATATGAAAATTTTCTAAATTATATTTTTCTAGTGAACATAATTCACATAAATCTCAGTGATTCAAAATAAAACTCAGTGATGCTAATTCTTTGCTGGTAGAAAACCTGTAGATTGGAAAAATTGTAACATCATGAGGTCACCTTAAACTAAAAATAAACATATGAAGCAAATAATTTTTATAGCTGCCAACTGATGCTATCAGCCCTCTTATAAGTGATAATGCTAATGTAAAAAGTATACATTGAATGTTCAAATTTGCAAATGCATCTATAAAAATAGAAAGAATTATATTTGAATCTGTTAATCAAAGAATTTTCTCTCTATAAACCATAGACATAAAATTCATTCAAGAAAATATTTTTATTTCACTATTTATTTTCCTCATTGCACTTTGATTTTAAGGACTCTAAGAATCTCATCATATACTAAATTTAATTTTGTCTATTTTTTTCTTAAGAAAGTTGATGAAGTTAGGTCATTATTTGTATATCTGCTTTAGTGCTCACTAGGTCACTTTTTGGTAGTTTAATAATCTTTTAAACATGATTTTTACATAATAACTATTTTAACTGAAATGTGAAATCATGATAATATATCTTTATTTTGATAGTGCTGCATAGTCTGATAAAATTCACTTAGAGTAATTGTTATACTAAATAAATAGTAAACTTTATGTCCTGTATTTTCTGGACAATAAGTATATTTCTGAGTAGCATGTTTATATTTAAGAAAGTTTCTTATATTTTGAAACATGTGACCTTATATTTTTAGAAACGTATGGTAAAATCTTTGCCACCATTCAGCTGTTTTAAGTAAGAAGCACAAATACACCCTTCAAACATTTTTTTCTCTTCTGTATGTTTTAAAGGACATATAAGAACAAATTCAATCCTATTTATTATATGAAAACATGATTACAGAAACAAGAGGATAGTAGTGTCCAACTTTTATCTACTTCAAAAAATAATATATCACACAATAGATTTTATTGATGATTAAGACTCACAGATGCATTTGTTAAATGAAGTGCCTATATCATACCTCTTATCAATCCACAATGACATTACAATAACAAATTTGCATTTGTAAATTTCATAATTACAGTTATTATTTTTCTTTATATAGCTCATTTTTAAGCAAATGCTACATTTTTCTTAGAATGAACTGTAATCAGCTTATAGTGCTTTAATTGTAATAACATTTTAACACCAAAATTCTTCCTACAATACCTGCATGCCAATATTCAGTATTTCTGCTCTTTTCTGCATAACCATGGTTAGATGTTTTTCATCAACCAAATTCGTCTCTCTTTTTTTCTATATCTCTCTGCCTTTCTCTATCTTCCTTTTCTTTCTCTATTTTCTTTTTTATCTCCCCCCTCCACCCAGTTCCCTTCCTTCCCTGCCCTCAGTTCCTCACTGCAGAGTACACTGAACATATTAAGAACATTCAGTTGTGGTTGGGCTTCTAACCTTGCTCAACTCCAGCATTAGCAAAGGGATTCAGTTTCTTGAATTCATTAATAGTGTTTTGCCACAAAAGGCTTTGTAGTTCTCTCCTGAATATTGAGCCTAGCTTAATAACATTCCATTTATGTTAAAGACACATTTAATCTGTAAATGTGACCTTTAGAAGAATTCTCTTGTTTTTCATTAAAGAAACACTGCATTACAAATATTAATTATTCCTTGATGCCATATTTTAATTAACTAATCATGTGCTATTTGCAGCAATAAAGAGTGTAGTAATGTATGTGCAGTTATGTTATGCAATGTAAGATTGATATCAAAGAATTCAGTGCTGTAGAAAAGACATGTTTTGGGTATCTTCTCTGGAGTAGTTTGCTTATATAAAACATTTAGTCTAGAATGATGCCTTGTTTTGCTTTGTGTTTTGTTTTTTTTTAATGCCAATGCAAGTCTGATTAAAATGCTGAACATATCGTTAGCCCCATCACTAATAAGTGAACGTTCACTGATGCATATTAGCAGGGTCTAGCAATGTGGTGAAATTGTCACTTAAGTGCTTGGAATCTGAACACAGAAAATGACAGGCAATGCCGAAGGTCCGGCTCCAGTGCATGTCTTCACTGTAGCTAGAGTCACTGGAATGGTGAAACCAGTTTAGGTTCAAGGTCGCTGCTGACATTCAGCTGTCATGGCTTCATTGTCTGCAGGCCTTCTCTCCATTGACACATTCAAGAGTACTTTATGGCAACCACAAAGAGCCAGTCAATTGATACCATTACACTTCATGCACACACAAACCACAAGCCTGTTCAGGACTGTTGATACAGTCTAACATTTATTCATTAAGGGATCTATTGAAAATGCAACTTGCCCAGCCCCACTCTTAACAACATAGACTTACTTGTTTAGTCCAAACATTTAGCTACGTCTTTTTCAAGTTTTGCACAGCATTCTCTAATTGAGGTAACATTATCTGCATTTTAATGCTACACCATTTATGCCCAATGAAAGATTACCTGAAGAACCCTGCCATTACCACACTAGTTTAAATACGGGCAGTCGTATAGAAAAAATATACACAAAAGATGTAAGCAGGGGGAAAAGGGAGATATTTATTTGTTCTGGGAGTGCCACGGAAATCCAATTGCTCAGAAATGAAATAAGAGTCTGAAGTGAAAGGAGGGAAAACCTAAGCTTGGGTCAGGGAAGAGGCAGTGATTAGCTCCATTGTTAGGAGCTCTTTGAGCTTCGTTGGTTGTAAAGAAAAACCCACTAATGAATCTATTGAAGCTTGCCAGAACTTTGTGTGGAAGACAACTTAAGTTATGGTGCTTATCTAAAAAATGGTACTAAAGTGTGCAGATATATAAAACATAGCACATACATCTCTTTGTTAACAGCTTGCCCATAAAAACAAAAAAATTGTTTAAAGATACTGTGATGCACAAATGACTGATTTAACATGGATATGCTTAATTCAATATTTACAGGTCTTGAAAAAAATCACCTAAATGATGATAAGATACAAGAAAGTATGCCTTGTTATAGTTTAAAGATGGAGAAATAGGCAGAAATAGAATATAGCTAATCTCTTCTTGGTTTTCTACCAGTATTTGCAAAGAAAGGTGGGTTTAAAAGTCAAGTCAGAAGATTGTTTCATGTTTTGCATATTTTAAGTATGCATAAAACATTTCATTAAGAAATGTAATCAACTAAGATTAAAAATAACAGACTTTGTATAAAAGAACCAATATACCTGTGTACTATACCTAGTAAAACATGTTCATCATGCTTCCATTCTATGTAGAGTTTCCAACATAGAGTTGAGTGTTTTCTTGCAGCCAGATACAATATCTAATTACATATATATATTTAATTCTATAAAATACATTTCACTGTCTAAAATACAGTTATCATTAATGTAAGAATTCAATTAGGTAGCCATATACTAGGAAAAATAATTTTGGCCAATCACTTGGTCAAGATCATTGCTAGTAGCTGGAAAATGTATGCTATATAATAAGTAGAGATAGAACATATTCTGAACGTTTTGTCAGGAGTTAAGTTTTGCCAAATACTTTCAAGTGTTACATTGGTAAAGCCAAGTTCAATCACCAAATGAGAAGAGGTCAACTCCGACTATCCCACTTATCCATGGTTCCATGATTTCTCACAAGAATGAAGCTTATTACTTGGGAAACATGATTCTCTACCTCTGAAGACTTGTCTTTTATAGATAAATGAGTGTTATGTCAATGAATTCGCTCATTTTTTCATGACCAAGTAGGCATTATCCCTCCAAAGCATACTATTTTGGGGCAACAGGACTAACTGATAAACAGAATTCTTCTTTTATAATGTCAAAGATCTCTTTACTTTTGACATCCCAGATTTCCAACTAAGGCCCTAGGAAGCTTTTTGTGGAGATTATTGTGTAGTTATCATGAAGTTATCTCTTTAGACTCATGTCTACACAAGGGAAGATATTGTTGCCACAGTATGAACAACTGTTCTTCAGGTCTTCATTAATTTGCTTCAGTGATCAGGCTAGCATGAGCAAAGGCTAAACACAACCACATAAAAAACTAGTTATGTGGTTGTAGTTTATGTCAGGTCCAAACCATCCAGAATCCATTCTGGTAAGGTATGTTACCAAGAATGTCTCTTATTCTATGAGATTTTATGTCAGGAGATTTGACTTAATTTTGACCAACAGAGAAATCTGAGGATGAGAATTGCAAGAGGTATATCAAAATATTGAGAAGGTAAAGGAAGTTAATATTGAAAGGATACATTCCAGTTGTGTCAAGCACTTTACTTATGTTGTTTTTTCTCTGCAACAACCCTGTATACATTATTGCTCAATTCTACTAGTGGACAAAGAGAAGCTTCTGGATCTTTAAATTTTTACCTGAGGCCATAAAGCAAGTAACTGGTAATGCTGCAAGTTAAACTGAATACCATATTTGCCTGAAGCCCATAATGTCCTGAATACCGGTTTCAGCCAAAGGACTTAAAAGACCTTGGTAAAATTTAGCTAACATTGCTGATGCCATTTATGGTGATAGTACCTTCTCTCTCTTTCATCTTTATGTTGCCTCACTTTTCAAAGTCACTCCCTGTAATAAGCTTCTATTTTGTCTTTCTTTCTCTTCCTCTTTCCTTTGCTCCTAGAGAACATTGAAGATCTATCATCTTCGATATCAAACTTCATCCATATCAGACATCTTTCACATCAATTTAATAAAAGTAGCTCCATTAATGAGTAACAGTGATCTACCAGTTCACAATAGTTTCTACGGTATTTTTTTCCTCAGGGAGTATGAATGTAAATCTGTCAGTCCAAAATTCAGGGTGTCTGTAAATGTTCTGTAAAATCCTTATGATATATTATATAATCCTTCAAGCTTTCTTCCAAAACTCTTTTATATATTTTCATTAATCTAACAATTTTTTTTCTAGGAAATTTCTTTTGAGATGAGGAAACAAACTTTTATGGTAAGTTACCCTGTATTTCTACTGGAGATTCTAGATCAAGAGATATATGCTAAGATTTATAGCCTGTACCATACCGGCCTACAGCACATGTGCTGTGTGTGTGTGTGCATGTGTGTATAACCTTCCAGGTGCACCCTTCCAGACTAACAGCTCACCATCCTCTGTTCGCATTACTTTCGCATGGAGAAATTTTTTGTATGCTTCTGATATATTTCTTCAAGAAAAATAAAGACTGTTTAAGTGCATATTATCAGTTAAATAGCTTGGTCAATTTTTGGAGTATTCACTCACTTGAATGGCAAAGAAATTATCCCATCTGAAAAGTAGAAAGGATATAGTGCTTTTGTCACAGACACATTTACAGTCTCTCATAAGGCAATTTTTCTTTGTCCTGCTGTATTTTCAAGAATGATTTTAAATGAGAACTTTATAAAATGCCTTACTAAAAATGACACCAAATAATACTCAAATAATAACAGAAGGAGAGAGATGACCAAGGCAAACAAATGACTTCCCTTCTGAAACTTTGCTGTAACTAGATACAGATTTCTCCTTTTAATGATGTAATTTGGATAAAAATATTTTGCAATTATATTAAATCTTATAAGATAAAATTGTCTTGGGGAAATTCTCTCCATGGTATAATTTTTATTTTATTTTTTTACTATTCTCCACTAGTACACAATTAAAGCAAATGCTATTTGGCAGGGTTGACAAAAAAAATTTAATGCAAATAGCTTACAGAAAGATAATAAACTCTTTTAGGAAAGTGAAATATGCTTTTAAGGTATGCTTTCAGTTAATTTATAATCTAGAAGGAGGCTTATTTGATGATTGTTCCCTATAATTAGTGAGATCAGTAATCAAGACAACTGTGATTTATTTTACCAGGAGACCTAAGAGACTGAAGACATCTGGCCTGGACTACTCCGATGGTAAAATTGAAAGTACATTGAAATTTGCTTTGTTATAGGATTCTCTTCAGAGGACAAGAGAAGACGTTATATTCTCTGCAGGAGGACAATTCTGCAGCATCAACATTGAATAATACTTGTTTTCTGGCAGCAGAATTTTGTATCATATTTCCAAAGACAGTAAGCACTTGGGTGGACGTCAATGAATACTAAACACTAATTGATCTGATACAGCCATATGCACATACACAGATATACATGGTAGCTTATAATGGTTGAAAAATTACAGTTTGGTTCTATTAAAAGATCTGTCACTTTTAGGTCAGAGTGGGATTTTGGGGGGGTAGTCTCCCACAATAGAAAACTATCTTGACAACAGTGGTGTTTTGGGGTTGTTTGTTGTTTAGCTTGTTGATGATGCTTAGCTAAGGAGACACTTCCTTTCAGATTCTGTCTTCGAAACCCCAGGGCTCTGTTCTGGGCAGTTCAGCCTAATGGAATTAAGCCTGACATGTTTCAACTCTATTTCTTGATAAAATAAACATAAAACAATGGTTTAGATTTCGAATAAAACTCTTGAAGCATGGGGACTCTAACTTTCCCTGTTCTTTACACATCTGTAAATAAAGTGTATAAAAGAGGAACACAACAGGATAAATCAACATAAATTTGAAATTCACTGCAGCATATTAAATGGTGCAGTCTCAGTCAAAGAGAGGCTGACCCCGAGGCTTCGTGCAGTTTGAAGCTAATTGTTTTCGTCAGGATGGGAACGTCTGGAAGTCCATGGCTGTATCCCACCAGTAAGGCTCCAGTAACTGAGCCGGCCCACAGAGAATGGGCCCACTTTGTAGCGACACAGCGGGCTCAGACACCACCTATTCTGCTCTCCAAACTGTCATGCATAACAACTTTATTGTGCTAAATTGAACTTGAAAGCAACCAAAGGCTATGAGAAGGAGAGGCTATGAGAAAAGCGTGCTGTCAGCGCTGGCAAAGGCTGACCTGGAAAGTAGGCTCAGAGACAGGGGAATAAAAGACCAGGCCCCATGAACACAGCATATTGTTTCATTTTAAAGTATGATTCCCATACCAGAGAAAGTAGCAAATGTGATGTAAATTTATTTAAATAGATTCGACCGCTTAAAAGTTTGCCAGCCGCTCTTATCCAACTTTCCCAGCTCTCTGATTCGTTACTTACAGTGGGAATATAATGACATATAGTCATCATTGTAACAGCTTCTTTGCAGGGGCACAATGATGATTAATAGCCAGCAGCAAATTTTCACATGGGCTCTGAAGCACTATGGCATTAAGCAGCCAAACAGTCCCAAATCCCCCTTTTCTGTTCCGCTGAAAAGTCCCCTCCTTGTACCTTCCAGATAGGAACAAAGCCTATCTTAATTCCAATCAGCTTTTCGTCATTCAAAGGGACCTTCTCTTTTTCATAATTGATTCATGTGCATTTTTTAGTGTTCCACTGAGCTGAAGCCACTTTTCTCCTTTTCTCTGTTCTGTCCCCACACCGGCACCCCCTTTTTTGAGGGGGTGAGTGGGAAACATTTCAACAACAACAACAGTAAAAACCGTGTGGTAGTTTTCCCCAAAAATATTTGCTAAATAGATTTCTCAATTAGTATTAGCTTTTGCACTTAAAGGGCTTAAAACAAAAATTAACTCCTGGACTTCTCTTTTGTTGGAAGTGGTTTTGGTTATAAAAATATGAGCTCACTGAAGTAGCTCTGGTGGGAGCCCCACAATCATGTTCTGTTCCATTGGGAGACTTTGAGTAGCCTTCCTTCCCATGAGAGACACAGCTGGAGTGAGGACCGAGTCTCTTGCTCCAGAATGATTCTTTTTCCTCCTCTGTGCTGGTAGCCATCAAAAAAGGAACAAGTGACCAAAATGAAAGGCAGCAAACGCACACCTCCTAACCCGCTCTGTCCTTCTCATTTTTCCCCATGGTAATCTTACATTATAATTACTAGCAGAAGCTCCTGTGTTATTTGTGGAACTTGTCTCTCTCATCTATAGTTTTCACCTCCTGTGATAATGACACAAATGACATTAACCAGTGCTGTCTTGGAAAAAGATTTCCACCCGCAAATTCATTTGTGTTTCTATGACGATATAATGGCCATAGAGCACAATTTTGGTGGATATACTTTGCATATTTGTTTACATTCCTTACAACCCTGACCTCATTTTTCTATATGGGCAGGGTGACCACATGCCTCGGTTTTCTCAGGACAAGCCTCATTTATGCCTGTTGTCCTTACATAATTATTAACAGTGCTTCCTTTCACCCTCGAAAGTATCCTAATTTGAACAATTTGAAAAACTCATGCCTTTTGCTATTTAAATGGCCCCGAATGACTTATACATACCCAAAGGGCGGGCTGTCTCTTACCCAAGTGTCTGGGGACTGCTTTATAGCATCCCAGTTTAGGGGAAGGAATCAAACTTGGAAACCCTGCTGCCGGTGTAGCCAGCTCCGACATTTGTCTCGCCCACTTTGAAGAGGTCAGTTGACCCTATGCAGCTTCTTTGATATGTGACAGAAAGGAGGTCATTTGCTGAAATGAAAGACACATTACAAACCAGATTTTAAGTGTGACTCTTTCCTTCAGCTGGGTCGCAGTTCTTACTTTGAGCTGGCGCAACACACTTTACTGGTCAGATAAAAATACTCTGCCATATTTTAGAATAAGTCTTTCTCATGCTTTGGTGTCTCCAAATGGTTAAATGAGGACTATATCCAATGGATAGGAGGAATTCTGTTCATCGTTTTTACTCTAGTGCTTATATCTTCTCATAAAAAGCAACATGTGAAAATGGCAACACAGATCTATTGTATTTTTCACTCAAAAATCTCAAACAGGTGAGTGTAATCCAGTCTTTGGGTTATAGGACCAGAGACTCTCAAAAAGTGTTACAACCCCCCAGGCAATGGTCCTAAGGGCTGGATTTTGCATATAGATTACCAAATTAACTGAGAGATGTGTCATATCATCTGTAGTCAGAGAACTCCCTACTCCCTATATGGAGGGAACCAAGGACATTCACATGTGTTGTTTATTCTTGAAAGTATATGGGGTAAATGGGTTCCTGATGTGCTAGTCAGAATAACTATAGCAGGACCTCAAAATTTTCCACTGTTCATAAGACCATAGCTCACATTCAATTACTGGAAGGACAAACATGTTAGACTTTTGACTGCCTTACTAGCTGTTTTAGAGGAGCATGGCCCCTTGATGAAGCCCTTGCTCTAAGCCAAATCTGGACCTATCTAACCTTTAGTCATGCATTTTATCCCCTTTCTTAGATCATTCTTTCAGAAATGAAATGAGTGGGGTACATGAAAGATATTTTCTGATGCAATATTTTTTAAATAAAAAACTTTTTATTGTTGTGCATTTATTTGTGAAGTGAGTGTTTAGACAACTTTGAAGCCAATTCTACGATTTGGTTCCTCTTTGATGGTGATAGCCAGCTGTCCTATTTAGTAGGATGATGGAACTGGTTACCACTAAAGTCCAACACTTAGAAATCACTCTGTATTTTTAGGCCCTAGCTGTTTGTGAGTGTTTGAGAATCTAACAAGGAGAATTGGTTTCCGCTAACAATTCTTCCTATCATCTTGCATGTGGCTGTGTCTATTCTCAAAACTTTTGGCTCATCTTACGAGATCTTTTACAAAGATGCCGATGTTTCTTGAAAGTGGCTGAAAGATTAGGGACTTTGTGCCTGATGTGCTGGAATAAGTCTGAGTTCTGTTAAATCTGATTTAAACATATTAAATCAAATCTTTTCTGATTTATTCTTATGCCCTCATTTTCATGTAATGTTACTACTATGAAGAAGTGTAATTAAGACTTTGATATGAGCCTTCACACTCTAAAGAGTGCTTCAGTGACTACAGTTTTATTAGATTATGGTGATGGGTCTGGCTGAGAAATTCCCACATTCATGAAGGACTCTGCTTTTTACTGGCTAAAATGGGATTTTAAAATGCAGTGACCTTTGAGACTCTCAGATAAGTTGGCTCTTCAACCCTGAGGTTATTTTATGGATTGCTAGGGACACACAGAAGAATGGATCAATGAATGCTATGCTCATCTCGTCTACTGGCACCATTGGAGGGACTGAAGATCAGGGTGCCTCTTTAGACTTTGGTTTGAGATTACAATGTTACCCCCTGCTTTGCCCTACTAACTCCATCCTCTCCACTCCATCACTCTGTATTAGCTCTAGAATGCCATAGACCACTTAGTTATTTTTCCTCACAGTGGAAAATCTCTTTACGCAAACTATATAAACTGAGGCCCACTATCCTTACACAGGCAGGGCCAACCCTTTCCCACCAAAGACTAAATCTGCCTGGATGCCCAGGATAGTTATTTTATATACATACACACTATCTGTACCCTAATCCCAAGCCAGCTAAATGTATGTGTCAAACCCGAGGTGTTTTTTTTTTTTTTTTATTACATGATGCCTACATTGAAGTATAAAATCTCTGAATTGGTTCCTGTCCTGTTTTTTTAATATGCTCAAGCTTTTCATGTCTTTATTCTGATTTTTCATATTTTTCTTTTCTCTTTTTACTTGTTAACAGAACGCTGTTTCTTTTCAGATACCATGCAAAAAATAGACTCAGAGAAGGTACACATATGCCCATGAGTCATAATTGGTCTAACTCTTTCATCATGATTCGATTCTCTTTAGCCAGGGATTGGTTTAAGGACAGGCATGTGACTCATTCGCCAAATGAACATAAAAATAAATCTGTTGGGAAAGATTTTTCTTTTGTAAAAAAAGAAGAGACAAATTCATGAGGAAAACCTCACGCTCCTTTATGTTTTTAAATCTTGTTTCATGAGGATGGGGGCTTGGAGTTTTGGCAACAATAACAGAGAAGCCAAGAGAATCCTAAAAAAGCTGATCCAGAGATGTAACATTGGTGAGATATTAATTAACCAACTTGGAAATTGACACTTCTAGACTTCTTGTCATATAAAATAATAAACCCCTATTATTCGAGTCATGCCTTGTTGGGAATTCTGTTACTTGCAACCCAAAGCACAGTAACTGAATTCCATACCTTCTCTTTTCCTGGTTCTTTCTTTCTTAGTACACATATCTTTTCTAGCTTCTCTCGGTCCACTTGGTAGGATAATGGAACTCAGACTATTGTAGTTGGCAGCACAATAGATCACCTCATTTAATCAAATTTAATATACTTAATTTACTGTAGAGGAAACGAACCTAGGAAGCAACAAAAATTAATCTGAGGTCATATAGGCAGCCTACTCTCAACAGAATTAGACTAAAATTCTGGTTTTCCGAATAGGAGTTAAGTCTCTCTATAACAATTTGGTCCGATTTCCACTATTACTGCTCTGCACTCTCTGATTCCAACCACAGTTCATTAAAAATTGACATGCTGTACCTCTTATATATGAAGTACATAAGATAGGCTGAGCTCAGTGGCTCATGCCTGTAATATCAGCACTTTGGGAGGCTGAAGTGAGTGGATCACTTGAGGTTAGGGGTTTAAGACCAGCCTGACCAACATGGTGAAACTTCA